AAATTAAGCATGGACCTTATGTTAATCACTTTGTGAATTTAGTTGTCATGGAACGTTATGAATCCTATATATGTTTTTGTGCTTTTGTATTGCATCTACCTTTGCAGTTCATTTTTCTGTAAGTTGTTCCCTTGAAGTTCGAGAATTGGTGCATCGTGTGCTTTACAATTCAAGAATCATCTTGGTAGTTCAAGATTGAGTTTTTATCATTCTGAGTGCAGATGGAAACTAAAATATGAATAACCAATTGAGAGCATCTGATGTTTTGCTTTCTTGTTGATTTTTGTATTTAATTCCAGGACAGCCCCTTAATAATAGAGTGTTACAACTTCAACAACAACGGGAAGCATGAATTGATTGGGTAAATAGAGAGATTATATTTCCTTTTCTTTTTTTAATATAATTTTTCCATGAGTTTTATAGTACTCGTATTACATTGTAACTTTTTCTGTTTCCTTGCTCATCAGAAAAGTTCAAAAATCACTTGTGGAGTTGGAGAAGCTTTCTTTTAGTGGGGAGGGAGAAAATCTGTTCTTACTTCCTTCTGCTGGACATGATTACCATATCAAAGTCCTAAAAAGAACTCCTAATGATATCCTTCATTTTTTTTTTTGGGGGGGTTTTTTTAGTTGATGTTATTTATGAGTTTTGATTCCAATGCAGGTATTAAAAAGCCAGCTATTTGTGGACAAATTCTCTGAGAGCGTTCAACAAACGTTTCTTGATTACATAGCTGGTGGCTATGAAATGAACTTCATGGTGGCTGTTGATTTCACAGGTAATTAGTATTATTTTACAATAAAATCATAATTCTGGACTACTACAAATTTTTATTCTCCTAATTATTGATGGCTGAGTTTCTCAGATGGCTCACTGACGGTAATATTATTTCTAAGTCACACTTTTCCATGGTTGTCTTTCAGCTTCAAATGGAAATCCCCGCCTTCCTGATTCCTTGCATTTCATTGATCCTTCAGGACGGCCAAATTCATACCAGCGAGTGAGAATGGACCCCTAATGTGAAGCGCTACTAGTTTTTAGTTTTACTATTGGATTGTGACTTACTCTATTAACTATTTCAGGCAATCATAGAAGTTGGAGAGGTGTTGCAGTTTTATGACTCAGATAAACGCTTTCCTGCTTGGGGATTTGGAGCACGACCAATTGATGGTCCAGTATCTCATTGTTTCAACCTAAATGGAAGTAGTCACTACTGCGAGGTGGAACGGTTGCATAATACAAATTCACTTTCTGTTCCCCTAGATATTAATATTGTCAAATTCAACGTGCTTCTATGTTAAACAATTGTAAGTTATCTTTTAGGTTGAAGGAACTCAAGGAATTTTGATGGCATATACAAGTGCGCTCCATAATGTATCTCTTGCAGGACCAACTCTTTTTGGGCCTGTGGTTAATAATGCTGCATTAATTGCCAGTCAGTCTCTCGCAAGTGGTGGGCGGAAGTACTTTGTTTTGCTCATAATCACTGTAAGGGCAAACAACCACCTACCAGTTATTTTAGATGATAATTTTGTAGTGATCGCAATTTTCCCTTTTTTGTGCACGCTTTCTGCATCATGAACATCTTATCCTAGTTTGCCATCATTCCTTGTCATGATGCCATTAATTATATTTATTTGGCTAAATTTATATCCCTAAATTTTAGGGTTAGATTAAAAAATACTCTTGGAAGTTTAAAAAGTTTCATTAATATCCTTAAACTTTAGAAAATGTTCAATAATACCCCCTGTTGTTATCCCAATTAACAGATTTCCTCCGTGCGTGCAGTGTTAGAGCACAGGAAAAAAAAAAAAAAATTGTAACTTTTAAGCCAGGTAAGAAACCCACAATCCCATTACCATCCTCGGTCAAAGTGTTAAATAGCTCAAGTTGGAACCTTAGCAAACCTCTTGATTTATCTGACTTCAATCTTCAACCTGAAGAGCATAACAGCTGCAACTCTACTCAATATCTTACCAATTTGGTCACTTTGGTTGAAACTTTCCTCTGTGACACTTACTTTAGTTTCTATAAGACCTTGGATATGAAATTGTAGCCTCTTTCTGGGTACTTCCACAGATACCCAAACATTAAACTCTTTTTCCAATTCCCATCTCCAAAATTTATAACGCTGATGTCAGTTATCCATTCGAGGGGTTGCTTGTAATTAATCTCACAGCAGCATTCAAGAACTTGCATACATCCCACTGCACAGGAGATTTCTGCAGAGGGTCAACACCAGGGCAAATGACTTTTGCAATGATGGTGATGACTATATGTGCGAATGAACATCAGCTAGGTTCTAGGATTGGGAGTTCCAGGATTTCTTATGTTGATTGTTTGTATAATCGTCTTTGTGGGTTCTAAATTAAATGCGAAAGTGAAAGTCACTGCAGTCCAATGACTTGGTATGTGAAAATTCTAGTTGTTGAAGAACGAATAAGAATCATTGCTCTTAGAAAGCCAACCCTCGGGATTGAGGCACGAAAAGGGACAAAATCATCAGCTTCGTGACTGATTCTTCAGTTGACATTAATGGGTTGGCTGATAGATTTGGGGCAGTGAGCCAACTGGAATTTTTACTTCAAGCAATTCCTAGAGAATATGAGGAGCATTGGAGGGTCAATTTTCTTTTGTGCCATTGCTGGTGGAAGCTATTTGTATTGGCTGTTGATAATAGTGGTTCATAGGGTGAGCAGAGGATGTAGTGTGGAGATTGTTTGCCTGAGAAACTCGACTAGGGGAGATTGGATTACTTTATTACTTCATTACTGGTATTGAGTTGGTCAATTTGTGCTACTTTCTAGTTTGTGCAAAGTGGTTTAAGTACAAAGGGGCTCCCAAAATGTATTTGAAATTCACTTGACATCACAACAAGGAGAGAAAACTAGTGTTTGGTATATCTGCAGGGCTTAAGCAATGAGCAAATTAGCCCTGTTTACATATGGAGTAGATTTTAACTTGGGGTTGTATGTTGTCTTCTCCGAGAAGTTCCTACAATTTCTTCTTCGAATTCTTGAAGACATTTTCCATCCCTGTTTTTACTCGGCTAAGAAGATGACACGCAAACATGGGGGGTTTCTAACGTGGCATAAAAATTTCCATCTTTTTCTCAGTGCTTTAAGGTTCCACGGCTGAATTCTGTTAATTGTGATAACTCAAAGGTATTTTGACCATATTCTAAACTTCAAGGGTATCTATGGAACATTTTAAATTGTTTTAAATGAACCCCAAACTTCAGGATTATTTTCCATAATTTAGCCTATTTATTTTTTCAGGAACGTTGAAAAACCCCCTGGATTATCAAGGGTTTGTTTCTGATGATGCCCAAGTTTTTTGTAGGATGGAGTGGTAACAGATCTCCAAGAAACTAAAGATGCTCTTGTGAAGGCATCTGATCTGCCATTGTCCATTCTCATTGTTGGAGTGGGTGGAGCTGACTTTAAAGAAATGGAGGTATCTAGTTTACATATTATGCCCATTCTCAACTGATATGTATACAGCATTCAGCACCATTGGTTGCTGACAACTTGGTGGCGTGAAGAAGCCACCGGGAAACTAATTTTAACTAGCTAAGAACGTTTGTTTCTATTAATTTTGAATGCTTTTTGGAGATCACAGTTGTTTTGTTCATCTTACCTGTTTTTATCTCGCAACCAAGAAAATTTTCTGGCTTAACAGAGTAAGTTAGATCGGTTTTGTTTTGTTTTGTTTTGTTATACGTTTAACTGTATTTCTGAATACCCCAAGTCCTTAAATCAGAGTTAGAACCTTCCTGATAATTATACTGGATTGCTAGGTCTCTTTTGAATTCTCTATTATGTGGGAGCTGATTCTATTTTAACATCACTCAGGTTTTAGATGCGGATAAGGGAGAGAGACTTGAAAGTACAACTGGACGTGTTGCCTCACGAGATATAGTCCAATTTGTTCCATTTCGGGATGTACAGGGTGAGTGATTCTCTGAAATGAAATTTGGATCCGACTATGGCAAGAAATATGGTGAACTCCCGTCATGCTTTTAGCTAACACTTGCTTATAGGTGGAGGGATTTCTGTTGTTCAAGAACTGCTAGCAGAAATACCTCATCAGTTTCTGACCTATATTCGAAGCAGAGATGTTCAACCAAATTCATGATCAAGCACATCATACAGAACAGCCTGAGATATTGAATCACTTATTTGTGCTGTCATCGCCATTCCATTTAAGTTCGAAAGAATGGGCAGTTGTGCGATGTCGCACTGAGATTCAAGACTTTCGTTTGCAGTTCAGTGTGCATACCAATGCAGTGGGTATATCCGTTCAATGGTTGGCGTTTTTCCACGGGGACAGAAGTTTACGCGAGAGTGACTGTCGGCTTAGTTGTGCCCGGGACCTTTTTCCATTCTGGAGAATATGATAGGTGATACCATGTGTTCTACTCTTCAATTCGATAAAAGAATTCAAAGGAATATCAGGCAGATTTTTTTTTTTTTTTTTCTCATATCCTGTGCATTGGAACTTTATTTGTGGATTCAGTGAATATAGTGCTGAACCTCAGGACATGCCTGAATCCTAAAGGTTATAGTTTGGAGAATTTTTCTTTTCTTTGGTTAACAAAGTGTGATTTGAAACTCTCGTTGATTGAGAACCGAGTCTATAATATATTAATCACGGCATCATTATCTTAGGTAGTTATTCGTTCTCTTTGTTTGTTTTTTTGGTATTGATGCTTGTTTCTAAGCTTGGGGCAACATTGGAAGGATTGTATTTACGGAAAAACATTTATTCATTAATTTTGGAAGCTGATAGTGAGTTTTAAGTATTTAAGTACGCAAAGAGAAGTTAGTCTCTCCCAATTATAACAAGTTAAGGTTGAGTCCTGTATATGAGTCATTCTTTAAATATCAGAAACAAATTAAAGTTTATTTATTTATTTATTATTATTAAAAAATGAGAAGTTTTCTTGTCAAGGAAATTGTGGGATGGCCTTTCTAAGAGCTCCTACCTTCATTGCGCAAGTTTCGTAGGTCAATGATTATCATCAGCGAATGAAGAAGAAAATGTGACAATAGTACTAAAAAAATCAAAGGTTCTGAGAGTCGCACATCTTTGTAGACACATGCGTGTGATGGTGGTATTAGGCATTGACAAATGGCCAAACAAACAGAGAACACTTTCCAAAGTTTTACGGTACAAGCATTACAAACATAATAATAATAATAATAGATTGAAATACTTGAATTGGGTTTAGGATGGGGTGGCTGGAATGTGAAGTCGAACATAACAAAATTATGGATGGTGCAAAGTCAGTGGTAAGGAAAGAAAATTGGGGTTCCCCTTTTTTCAGTTTCCAAAGTTATCATCATGTCACTGTATATGTGTACTACAATGTTGTAAATGGGTTTGGGAGTTGGTGATTGTGTGTGTATATATACAGCCATTTTAGGATAGGTTCGCAAACAAAAAGGTTATCATCCATGCTCCTCTGAAATAACTAAACGCCAAGACTCCCAAAAAACTAAAAGTGGATCCGAACCGAGGGAAGAGGCCCTTCTCTTCCGATGAATTGGAGGAAGAAAACCCGTTCCCGATCTACTCAGCTAGATCTCAACATGACACGTCGGCCATGGTTTCTGCGTTAGCTCAAGTGATAACGAGTGGGAGTGGGAGTAGCAGAAGCCCAGTAGAAGCAGATTACTGGCCGCAATCGCAGCAAGCAGCAGCAGATGAAGAACAAGGTGGTGGAAGCAGGACGGGGATGGTGTCAAGAGAGAGGCATTATCGAGGAGTAAGGCAGAGACCGTGGGGAAAATGGGCAGCTGAGATTCGTGATCCGAAAAAGGCAGCAAGAGTGTGGCTGGGCACCTTCGACACTGCTGAGGCTGCCGCACTTGCTTACGATGAAGCTGCCCTCAGATTCAAAGGCACCAAAGCCAAGCTCAACTTCCCTGAGAGACTCACTACCCCATGCCCTCCGCCCCCCTATGCCTATCATCACCATCACAATAACCACAACCTATAGATCACACACAAACCCTTTATATGTATTATCATGCGCTCCGCTTCTTTTCACTTTCTTACAATCTTATTCCATATCAGTAACAATTCGAAGCTTTTTATTTTTATTTTTATTTATAAGCATTTTCTCTTCTCCTCTACTACAACAACTTCATTATTCCATGTAACATTCCCACCTACACGATCATCAAAACTCTTTTATCTCACCATTGGAATCAAATTTCACAATGTCCTCTAATTATGTCTATAACTTAACACCTCCTTCTTAAATAATATACTACACACCTCGTCTAACTCCATCCTTACATTGCTTTATTTGCTATACAAACATATCAAGGTTTCTTTTTAGGGTAACGTTAAGTTTAGTGATGCTCAAGGATAGGCACGTGAATAACACATAAACCACATCTAAATGAGTAGTTACGAGAAAACGATGATTAACAAAATACTTGTACTACTTATACCAATAAGGTGCATTTTTTTTTCGGTGTCTCATTATAAAAACTCAAATGTTAAGTGTGTTCAGCATGCTAAAAGAACTTGTATTTGGATTTGACGATAGTTTTCAGTCTTAGAAATATTTCAAGATCGATAGGTAATGTGGTCATGTTGTAAGAGACGTAGATGAATACTGGTTGAATCTATATTCCAAATCCTGGTTTGAATCTCGAACACAGTGTTACAATATTACTCTTCTCTAACAACAATTAAATAATGCAGTTTTTCGAGATAAGTTAGGAGCATTCCAATTTTGAATCTATGGCATTTGAGCAACAGTTATGAATAATATAATTGTGTGGTGAAGAAAGTGTAAGGTGAAAGGAAGGATAGAAGATGAGATTAGAAATAGATTGTGAGGCAGTATGATACGGGAAAACAAACACAACAATTTCCCCTAAATCTTATGGGTAATTGAGGAAGTGAATGGAAAAGGAGAATATGGAGGTGCTGGTTGTTCCAACTCATCGCTCCAAAGGGTCATCAAATGCGCTCCAAAGGGTCATCAAATAGGGTCATCAAATGCGGCTGAGTGATGACAACACGGTTTACTTTCATCTCAAAACCATTCAAATTTCTTCCTACAACCGCCGCTTTCAGACCCAATCTGGCGCGTTACAATTGTTACTGATATGGATGCAATTGAGGGTCATCACTTTGAGGGGTCAGATAATGGAAGAACCGCCAACGCATTAATTCATTGAACAAGAACTCACCAATACTCAATGAAACGGTGGCTTCAAAAATAAAATAAGAAAGCGGCCGACACAAGTGGTGTTTGAATTCTGGACTCGGGTCTTTCGGTTGCTGGACTTAATTGTCAATGTTTACGGCCCATAGACCCCGCGACTTTCCGCATGTTCAAACCGAAAACCAAAACCAAAACCAGAACCAGGAGAATTTATAAGAAAAATCAACCAATTTCCGTTCCGACCCAAAATTGAAGTTCAAATTTTACGGAGACGGAAGTTATTAGTAGATATGAATGCATGATACGAAAACAAAACGGTAGCATTGCATTCGATATTCCGACAGTGTCTGATCTGATGATACAAGATGAAGGTTTTGGATTGGAGTGAAGAGAGTGTGAAATTAAAAAGGCAAGAGAGCGGCGGCAGCGGAGGTGGAGGCTGTGGAACTGTTGCGCTCGGCGTGGCAGAGTTGGCGGAGTTTGGTAGGCACGTACCAGATGGCGAGGTGTGGATGTGCGTTGAAAATGGCATCGATGTCCCAACCTTGGGCAGCTGCTATGGCTACCAGAGGCTTATAGCATGCCTGTCGCCAAGCTCCCACATTTTCGCCCCTTTCTTTGAAAACCCTCCTCAATGAATTCGACGCTTCCTCGTCCAGACAATGCAGCGCATAGCAGTGCACGTAGTGTCTCATTTTGGGCTTGTTTATGTAACTTGCTCCCGCCTTCTTCGCGTATCTAAACACCTGGTTCGTCACCTGCTGGATCGTATATAGCATAAACACAAACAATTCAAAACTTCAAAACAAAGCACCACCACACATTATTATTATTATTATTACCATCACACTGTCCTTGTCCTTTAACCTCTATCCTATCGCCTTCTTTGACTGCCCCCTCAGTATCATTCATAGAGTTGATGGCGCTGTCCACGTTTTGACAAGGACAACGCACCTCACCTCTCCCTTCACTTTCTACTTTTTGTTTAGGCAATACGGACCCCCCCCTCCTTCACTTCCCTTCATTGCCCATTGCCCCATTCATATCATAAGCCTAATAAAACCCCCCATCAACTCAGAATCCACTAAATTATAGGCCACTTAGAGACTTGGGCGAGGCTTAAGTTGATTAAGCCGGCAAGGGAAGGCAGTCCTCTAACGACATGGTAGTGGAATTATTGTAAAAAATAAAAAAAAAACCTTATTGGGGCATTTTTCTCCTCGTTCCTTGGCGATGTTCTGGACCTGGATCAAAAATTGACGACACTGCTCATAGAGGTGGAAGAGATAGTCGAGGCCGTTCTTCTTTCCCCGTGCAACCTCCCCTGGTTCGGTTACGATGAATGGATGCTCCCGCTGTCTCTCGCTGACTTCCATATTCTCCTCCTCCTCCCCACCTCCCTCGGTTTCCTCATTATCCTCCTCCATCACTATCACCTGCTTCTTCTTCGATACGTTTCTCCTCCGCTGCTTCTTCCTCATCTCAGCTGCTGCAACTGCCTCCCACGCTCCTCCTCCGCCTCCGCTTCCCACCACCTCCTTCTCCTGCTGCACCGGCTCCTCCGATAGCCCTATTATTATGTCACACACCCAGTCATGCTTTATCACCTACCCACTCATCACCTACCTCTCTACTTACTATTAAACCTTAACTGCTTCCATGTACTAAAATACAACACGTTCATTACCACAGAAATGTTCAAAGCCAAAAGGAAGAGAGCGAGTAATCGGAATCAATCTGACTACACAAAAGGAGAAAAATTAGGCGTATCTGACCTTCCTGAGAGAGGGCATCGAGGACGACGTTGGTGGTGGTGTCGTTGGACAAGAGGTGACGGCGCCTGGAGGGGTCGATCTCGTCATCTAGACGTCTGCGCTCGGCTCTTATAGCCGCCTTAATTCCGTACCTCTCACCCACCAGAAGCTCCCAACGGAAAATGTGAGAGAGGCTGTTCATCATGTCCTCCAACTCTTCGTCTTTCATGTCCAGGAGGGTGCTGACGGTGAATCCGAGTTCCGCAATTTTAGCGGCGGTGTAGTACCTGATACCGTAAGCCTGGAACAACTCCTCCAGGCCTCCTAGTCCCAACTCCCTGGGGCGCAGCGAGTAGGGGGGTAGTGGTGCTGGGAGGGATGCACCGCTGCCGCCCCCCACCACTCCTCGAGGATCCCATTTGAACAAAGTTGCTGAGAGGGCTTCCGGATCCATTAGCGGAATTGGATATGTAATGCTGGTGCTGGTGCTGGTGCTGGTGCTAGTGCTAGTGTTTGCGTATATGCGTATGCATAGGGTACACAACTACAAACAACCCAACCTGTCGCTCTTTTTCCGACCTTCCTTTTGGTTGAACTCCCAAGAGGCCACAGAGAGAGAAAAGAAGAGCATTGGGATGGGCGGGAAAGAGGGGTGGTGCACCCTATAAAAAGCAACCCTTTTACCAAATTACGGGAAATGCCCTCCCCTCAACCTCACCCACACAAACGCAGCAGCAGCTTCTTCAACAGCGTTTGCTTAACTAACTAGGTGGCGCAGGCGCAGCGGATGTAAATATAAAATATGGGCAGTGCTGTCTGCTGCGCTGCGCTGTGCTGTGGTTTGCAGTGCAGGGAGGTGATGGTTTTGATTGTATTTTCAAGTACCAACTTAGCCCTGTCACTGTGGTGCTTTGAATCGAATTGAGACCACCTCTACTTGTTTAACCACAAATTATACATACATTTCTTAATTCGGCATCCCCTCAGCCCACACCCGGAGGCATCTGCACGATGCTTAGTGCGGCTTAGTGCGGTGCCGGGGGTGGGAAGAAGAGGGTCATCTTGGTAATTTGAGTCAATAAAAAGAAAAGAAAATAAAATTGTGGAAGAGGAGGAGAAAGTACAAAGAGAGAAGAGAGCAGAGGGTTCAGCGAGGTCAGTAGTTTTGCCTTTAGCCAAGCGGCTGCACTTACTCCACTCCAGGCCTCACTGAAAAGGCTGATTCTTTTGTACTTCGACACAGACTAATTTAATCCCCTCACCCTCAACACTCCCCCCGCCCACAACCTCAACAGCTAGTCCCTTTCCAATTCTTTTCATTACGCTTACGCTTACACTTCCACCTTCCGTATACCTCCTCCCAAAAACCATTCTCCAAATCATGTTTAATTTTATACTCTTATGACTTATTTTTATAAATCATTCAACCTTGCCTCTACTCACACGCTCAAACTCTCTCAACACAAAGTTACATCTTAACGTCATCTAGGTTCCCAATTAACATGGTTCGCATGTCTTGACATCATTCCAAGTTACAGGGTGTCGTTAGCATTACAACTCACTCAGTCATGCCATCGAGAATGGGCCCGTGTGTTGTTTATAATAGCGGGACGTCCTGAACACCATCAATTCAGATTTTATCGGACATTGGACCCTCCCATGTCCATATTGATATCGTATCATTTATGGACTCCCTACCGAATAGCGAGTGTATGATCCAACCTCTGACACATGGGTTGGGGCGCAATGTCCGCACACTTATATCATTTGACACTGTCCTTAAAAAAACTATTTCAAAGGAAGTCGCTCGAGACATTCGCCTTGCAATGCTCGCCCTCGTTGTGACACGCATGTGCCACATGGTAACTTGCTTAGGCCACAATGACCACTGGGTGGACAGCTATCATGTCTCTCCTCTAGTATACATTTTGAGGCATTTTCGTGTAGGCATGATTTAGGCGAACAGTCATAGATATCGTGGAGCATCCATTGGTATGTGATTGACACCAAATTTGGCTGAGTTTTAATATTTCATATGAGCGGATTTGACTCTAGCACAGTAGTGTGTCCAAATTCCCTCATAAAATACCAGCCCCGAGCCCTTCAACAAGCATACCTTTGACACTTTTGTTTACTCTTTGCCTCTATTTTACTTATATCAATGCCCACTCTATATGGTGTGCGGGATGATATACCGTCCTCCTAGATCGATCATGACACTCGCCTATCTTGAGGCCCGCACGGTCGGATGGATGTCATTTGATAGTTACTACTTTGGTTGCGGCAACATTTGGGGTGAAAAAATCACATCATGAAACGGTGGGTTTACAAAGCGGTGACCAAGGAGAAATGAGAGCGAAGTAAGAGAAAATGGGAAGGGAGAAGGAGAGAGGGTGAGCATTAATTTTATTTTTAAAGGCGAATGACGTGTCAACATTACAAATAAAGACAAATTACTAGCTTACCATGATAAATAAAAAAGAGACCTCAAAGGCGAACTTGGGCTTAATGGTGCCTAGAGCCAACCAGCCCTTGGACATGCTTAAAGGTAAGCGAGGCTTGGACTTGGTCGGATCATGAGCCAAGTTTGGGCCAGGTCAGACCTAGGGCTAGCCGGCAGACCTTGGAACAACCACCCAGACCTAGGTGGTTCCCGGCTTATCGGTGCCGGAGGGGAAAATGAAGGCGAAGGAGTTGTGTTTTAGGTTGCTGTATCGGTGCCGGAGGCGTAAGCTGAAGATGTTGCAGAAGCAGAGATACTCGGAGCGCCAAAGGATTACTTCCGCCCTTCTTGCTACCTCTGCCTATGCTTTACCAGGCCCCCTTCGAATTCCAAGGGTTCCACTTTCTTCACTCCTTCCTTTCACCTCTTCTCCCATACATGTACACTATACCTCTTGCGCTTCTCTTCCCAATCCTCTCCCACTCCTCAATTTCATGTCAATTCGCTGCATTTGTTTTCTGCCTCCGTCTCCTCCCTCTTCCATTCCCTGGAATTCTAATGAACTTGAGGACGCAAATTCTACTTCTAAGTTCACCGTAGAAGCAGGTAACGGTAGGTTAGTTCCTCTTTCCTCCTCTTCTGCCTCCACCCGGATGTGACTTTTCTTCTTCCATCTCCGTAATTGGTGGCGCATATGCTTCTCTTGCCGTTGAATTTGAATGCCCTTTTTTTTTTCCTCATAAACTCTATTTCAGGTTATCAAACCCTTTATCGTGTTCTTGAAGCCTGCAGACTCTCCCCCTCGAATTCCAAAACCGCTTCTGAAACGCATGCAAGAATGATTAAATTTGGATATGGAAACTACCCAACTCTCGTCACCTCTCTAGTATCAGCTTATCAACGTGCCGATTGCCTTAATCGGGTCCATCAACTTCTTAATCTACTCTGCTCTAAACATCTTGATTTAGTTGCAATGAACTTATTTATTGACAATTTTATGAAAATAGGGGAATGCAAACTTGCTAAAAGGGTGTTTGATAAAATGCCTTACCGTGATGTGGTAACGTGGAACTCAATCATCGGAGGTTGTGTGAAGAATGCACGGTATGAGGAGGCATTTAAATTCTTTAGGCAGATGCTGAACTCAAATATCCAGCCGGATGGGTTTACATTTGCTTCCGTGTTGAATGCATGTGCGCAGCTCGGAGCTCCAAGTAACACTCAGTGGGTTCATGCTCTGATGACTCAGAAAAAAATTGAGCTTAATTCTATATTGAGTTGTGCACTCATAGACGCCTACTCAAAGTGTGGCAGCATCCAAATTGCAAAGGAAATCTTTAGCAGCGTCCCTCGCAGTAACATCTCAGTTTGGAATGCGATGATCAAAGGGCTTGCGATTCATGGGCTTTCAATGGATGCATTATCGGTATTCTGGATGATGGAGCGTGAGAATGTTCTGCCTGATGCTGTCACCTTTTTGGGTATCTTAACAGCCTGCAACCATGGTGGCTTAATTGAACAGGGTCGCAGGTTTTTTGATTGGATGAAAAACCGTTATTCAATTCAGCCACAGCTCGAACATTATGGAGTCATGGTTGATCTGTATAGCCGAGCTGGGTTTCTCGAGGAGGCCTATTCCATAATCGTAGCAATGCCCATAGAGGCAGATGTTGTGACATGGAGGGCGCTTCTGAGTGGTTGTAGAATTTACAGAAATCAAGAACTCGCAGAAGTTGCTATTGCAAACATGTCTCATCGTGGGAGTGGAGATTACGTGTTGCTATCAAATATCTATTGTTCTCTCAACAGATGGGAGCATGCAGAGAGAGTTAGAGAGAGGATGAAAAGCAATGGAGTTCGCAAGAGTTGCGGAAAAAGCTGGATTGAGTTGGGAGGTTCCATTCAAAGCTTCAAGTCAGGTGACCGATCGCATCCAGAAAGCGATGCAGTGTACAAGGTGGTGTGGCGTTTGATGAAGAGAAGTCGGTCAGAGGGATATATGCCTGTGACAGACTTGGTTCTCATGGATATCTCTGAGGAGGAGAAGGAAGAGAACTTATCATATCACAGCGAAAAGCTGGCATTGGCGTATGCGATCCTGAAAACTGGTCCAGGGGCAAAAATCAGTATATCAAAGAACCTACGGATGTGTGATGATTGTCATAGATGGATAAAACTAGTTTCAACACTGCTGTGCAGAGTTGTAGTAGTGAGAGATCGGATCCGGTTTCATCAATTCGAAGGTGGCATGTGTTCCTGTGGTGATCGTTGGTAGTTTGGTTTGGTTTGTTGTTTTAGTCCTTTTTTAACTACATTTGGTAGGGTCGCATTGAAAGACAAGTTATATATTTTAGTTTGGTTCAGACTTTTGGACAACGAAACCATGTTTGGTTGAATGAGGGATCAATTACAATTCCTCCTTATGCTCCTCCTCAGGAAATGCAGGCCCACCTCATGATTGGAGGCGTCCCTGTTATTTGTATAGATGAGAAAGATTGTTTGCATGTTTTGTATTGTATTGTATTGTATTGTATTGTTTGAACATAGATTATAAGTAGGAAGGAAGATTGTTTTTCAAATTTTATTCATCTAGTTTAAAAAAATTCAAACAATTCATCTATTTTGATCGCATTTCCTTCAACCCTGTTTCTACCTTGAGACTACTTGTTCTCTCAGAAGCTTATCTCCCGTCGCTCTGCAAAAAACTTACCTGTGACTGCCTGATCCGGAAGTAAGGCAAGCCAGACGCCAGTGTCAGCCCCTTCCTCTGCTGAAATATTGCCAGCGAACCCTGTCATAGCAGTTTTCACCCAACCAGGGCAGTAACAGTTCACATAAATCTTATGACCCTCGGGTCGGTCCCCCAATATTTTAGCCATTAACCTGGTGTATGCATTCACTGCGAGTTTTGATACAGAGTAGTCGGTTGATAACTGAGGCCACCCCCCAGTTTCCCAACTTCCATCTTCTACTTGTTCCAAAAATGTAGACACAATCCTATCAATTACGTCTTCTGTCAGAGTATCCAAATTGCCGAGTAGTTCTCTAAATGCTACATTTTCCACTCTCTGTAATGAAATACAGGAAAACATACTAAGCCAACCTTCTTCTTCCTCCTATTATTCACACAAAAACAGGAAGAAGGTGCACTTACATTCCGCCTGCCGTTCAGCTTGGCCAACCTTGAGCTCACATTCACGATGCGAGCACCAGCAGACGAAGGTTTCATCAAGGGGACCATTGCTTGAGTCATATTTTTGGTGCCGTAATAGTTAGTTGCAATAACCATCTGGGCATACTCTACAGAATTACTAGACCCAAGATTGAAATTCACTCCAGCATTATTAATCTGCAAACATATTTGGACGTAGATGGTGCATTTGGAAGTTATGTCATCTAAATTCATATATATACATATTTTTTGTGTGTGTGAAGTCAATATTTAGCTGGTATTCTGCATGTTGCTAAATCTAAGCGCTCTTCTTTGTGGGCAATTAAGAAACAAAAACGAATGTGGAGAAAAGTAGAGTGTAAGATTAACTTGCCAGAATATCCAAACCACCATAGTTTTGTAGCAGCCAATCAGCAAACTGTTTGATGGATAGAGCATCCAAGACATCCAGCTGATGAAAGGCAACATTGAGGCCACCTTCCTGTAAGACCTTAGCTGCTTCAAGGCCAACACAAACATCTCTTGAAGTCAAGATGACGGTCATTCCATGCATTGCAAATTGTCTTGAAACCTCAAATCCAATTCCTCTATTGCCACCAGTAACCACGGCAATGGTTTCTGTAGACCACCACCTACAAAGTAAATGTGGGTGTTGGTTATTGAGCAGAAAACAGAATGGTGAGAAGGAAAAGAAAGAGACCTCTGGTGATCGGAGTAAGGAATGGTCCTGGTGAGGGATATCTCTTGCATTCTCTTTTCCCTTAGCTCATTGCCTCTTTCCTTCCTGCCCATCTCGGTTCGGCTGTTTCTGATTCTGAAATCGCCCAAACAAAACAAAACAAAACAAAGAATCCAGGGTTAGTTGGTTTATGGTTAGAGGCGGGAGAAGGAGGAAACTTAATTTGGAGGATCACCCTTCTATATCTCCCTCTTCGCTCTTCACTACAACCAACCCGGACCCATTATCATCTAAAAACAGTAAACACACACCATCACCACAATTTGCCTCAAACCAGACCCATCATTCTCGCTACCCGCTCAACCTCCCTTTTCATTCTTCCTTACATCATAATTTAACCATTTTTCTTTTTAAAATATACCACACAGACAAAAACAATCTGGCCAACTTTATATTAGCTGCAAATTCATTGCCAACCAAACAACTATCTTTCCTGTAAAACATCTCATAAATTTTTTTAATTATTCTATTTATCATTCTTTGAAATTACTTAATATATATTTTTTTAGGCCAGGTAGGTCTACCAACCATTACAAAATACAATAGAAAATCACTACAACATGAAAGCAAATATAGAGTTTGACATGTTACGGGCATGCGACCATGGACAACACGTCTTGGACGAGCATGACCATGACATCCTCCCCACCTAAATGGTTCATGTCCCTGTCAATTGTCTATGTTCAAAATCTTTGATGTGGGTTGTGGCAGATCTTCGGTGCGTTCCCAGCTAATTTCTTTTGTAGAGAGTTTTTTCCATTGGACTAGAAATTCTCGAACGCTCTGTACAGGTCTTCCAACTTTTCTAACCCTCAGCTAGGATTACTTCGACTTATTTGTTGTCCTTTTGTTTAAGGTCGATTCTCGGTCTTGTGGCAACATTGCAGCTGACATCATCTAGATCGGAGTGATAAGTTTTCAGGTTGTTCACAGGGAGAATTTTCATCCATGTGGGCAATGTTATCCGGTGGGATGTAGTCTCGACTTTCTTTAGGATTTCAACGGGTCCTTCGTACTTTCTGACGAGTTTTTGATTTTTTCTGCTCGGTAACCTTTCAAATTAAAAAATATTTGTTTTGTATCTTTATTTCTTATATTATGCTTGATCTTGTTTCTTTTAACTCTGCTGATATAAGCGGATAAAAAAAAGAAGGTTGTAACCATAAAAAATGAGGAAAGTTGAACGTGTCAAAAATGATGGTTTTCATATTTCCAGTCTTGCTACCTCCAATGCATTTTAGTTTTTAAGTTGTCGTTTCGATTGGATGAACCCCATTTAAAAGGGAGAAGATAATGTGATCACAACCTCGTTGAAGCCCAAAAATATTGAAGGAAAATACTCAAACCATTGCCCAAATGTTGGAGGCAACAAAGCCAGCCCAAACGGCATGGGTCAACTAAAAAGGCTCACTCATTTAAATCAACTTGATGTTATTGCCGCTAGGTTTTTTGGCTTGAGAGTGAGCTATTAATGAGTATAACAGTCTTCACCCCTAGGAGCGACAAACACGTAACATTTTGGACAATAGTATATATTGTAACCCGTTGAAAATTTAATAAACCTGTTTTATCGTTATTCACGTACTTTTTAAGAAAAATCGTTGGATAGCATTTTTGGGTGATATATACTTTCACCCATTAAATTATATATTATTAGTTTGATTTTGCATTAAATCTGGTTTCATGTTAAAATGGTGTAAACACAAACAAATTGAATAGAGAGACTAAATTTAGGATCCAAAGAATAACTCAATTAAGTGATATATGTTAATCAAGATTCGCATTCCGCCTCTCGAATGTTGACGAGCTCACAAGAAAAAAGGAGGAGAATAAACACCAATTTTCTTTAACTTATATCTCATCACATCGGGCCTCATCGATCACCCACGATTCTCTGTGCACAAGTTAGGGCATCTGTCCCCAAACTCAGAAGACCCTTATCGTCTTATTTATGCGTACATGAAGTACCAAGATGGAGAGCAGCAAGCGATTCTTGAAGCTGGAGCACATGGTCCCCTCTGTATATATGGATTCCTATTCTCTTGCTTCTTATGTCTGTTGATTCGTCGTCCGTAGCCTTCTTGCCGCCGGAACCGGCCGTTCCTATTGGTCACAGCGTTCGGTCTAACTACTTATTGTTTAAATTTACGGGAACGCTGTAGGGGTGGGCTCGATATCATCATTTTTTTAGATCCAACGGAGGAGCTAAGAGTCTTCGAAGCCGATCCGCGGAACTGGGTACGCAAAACATTTCAATATTCATCTTTTCTCCGTTCTCGAGATCTTCCGCTTCTGCTGCTAACAATTAATTCCATGACTCTTTCTTGTAAATCATCTTTCGTTCTCTCTCTCTCTCTCTCTGCTATTTTCTTTCTTAACAATTACATTTGCAATTCCTGTGATTGTTGAGTAGATCTGATATCAAAATGTCAAGTCACATTTCTGAGTATTTGAGAGTTATTTATTCTTTTATGTAGTAATTGAGTCGATTGCATCCCTCATCTATAAGAAGATACATTTACCATGTAAAGAATTGAACTGTATGTATTTTCTGTAGGAGGTTGCATTCGGATTTCCAGTGATTACACTGTGCCACCTTTTGGTCTAGGACTTGGCTCTCTTATCCCCGGCGACTAGAAAATTCCGGCATTTGATGACGCAGGGAAGGGAGGGGGTGGATAGTAGTGTATAGTGAGTCCCATCCTAACATTTCAGAACTACATTCGAAGACTGACCTAGGCAGCTGCTAAACCTTGGACATTGGAGTAAGATTCTTGCTCAGACACCCAAACTACTACTATTTGTTTTCAAAGTCTTATTTCATTTTGAACGGTTCTTTACCTTTATTTATTTTTTTACGTGGTAATTAAAATCCTCGGGGACAATTTTTGTTTATTACATATTAGAATTTTTTTGTCTCTCTCGTCTGTTCAGGCAATCGTCATATTTTGAGTAATTACCAATGAAGTTGGAAATGTATTTTTTATTTTAGTTGTTTATGATAATACTGAAATATAATCTACAATGCCAGGAGGATACTTAACGTTTTAGTCATTTCTTGGTGGCCCTTTGTAGTTTTGTTGTCCTAATGAAATTTGTAAGCTTGAGATTGTATGAGGCTGTAGAATTTTCGGTAATTGATGGAAACACTCCATCTGCTTGAACACTTGCCTTTTTGTTCGACACTCATCTATTTCACAGTACACCTTTTAATGTGTTTAAGTATCCAATGAAAAACATAATTGTAATTATGGGAACTGTAGTAAGTTTTGAACGATGATTTTTTAACCCATCATCTATTACAGACCAGAGATCACCTTGGTATTTCAAAACATGGACGCCAAAGAGGCTGCTTTTTCTGGAAACCCACGGCGTCCTACTGACTGTTGCAATCCTGTCAAACAGCTTGGACCTATCTCCCTAGAACATGTGCTCCTTGCACTGCGTGAGTCCAAGGAGGAAAGGGATCTTCGGACCCGTAGTCTTTTTAATTTTTTTGATGCTGCCAACCTTGGATATCTTGACTATGCTCAGATAGAAGCTGGATTGTTGGCTCTACAAATACCCGCCGAATACAAATATGCTAAGGATCTCCTGAAGGTCTGTGATGCCAATAGAGATGGCAGGGTAGACTACCAGGAATTTCGCCGCTACATGGATGTTA